GTTCGGGCCGGTGGCGACAATACTCCCCTTCGCTCGCATGCTATTCTCGTAACCTTTTCTTGCCACCTTTTGGTCAACACGAAACATCTATATTGAACTATCCTTAGCAGAATACTTAACTTTTAGATAAGCAATTGATATCACTGTGATAAATGTTTATTTTATCTAGTAATTATGACTATTTTAACATTTATCTAACTAATTAAGTTTGAAAGACATTTGTATTTTACGCTTAAAATATTACAAAAATTAAAAGGGTTATGCAATTATGTTAATTTGTAAAGAATTGATGAAAATTTTACTTGTAAACCCTTGTTTTGTGTCTTGTAATTTCAATGAAGTTCCAAAGCTTCAAAATACCTCAATTTGCTCAAGCATTTCAAAATAGCTTAGATCATTAGAGGCAAAGAGCAAGATTGGCAATAGATCCAAATTCGCTTAGTCGTTCTAAATGGATTGAGCAAATTTGGTCTATAGAGGAGTGAAAAATTTGATTCACAAGGGCTTAGCAGATCTATAAAGGCTTAATTGATGCTGCTTCCTTCACCCTAAAGAATTCACCAATCGGCTCAGTTGTTTGGAAATGGTTGAGCGAATTACTCTCTCTTATGTATACTTTGTTTTATTTACTTGACATATATTTAAGGAAAGAAAATGAAAGAGGGGGACCAAAATAGACAAGGGAGCATATAGAACAGAGTTGAAGGACGAACGTCAAGGATTACCATGGAAGGATTATGGGTTTAATTTCTTCTTGTACATTCTCTTTGTACATGGAGGTGGCTCTCATTACTATGAGTAGCTAATTCAATATTTGTTGAGATTGAATGTAATCCATTAAAACTTTTATGTAATTTTTTTATTTATATATACATGATCATCTAATTTGTTCATATATATAAGCACCTAATTTGTTCAAAGTCGGTCACCCAAGAAGAATGTTATTGTATGAGGATGGGGCATCCACCACCAAGTATCGTACCACTAATGTATTCGCCTACTTGCCATCACCAAATGTGGTTTCTAAGTTAGCATAACCTTAAACCATGATTTTCTCACCTGCGAATCCAACCAAAGCTCCTATATATGGTATTAAGAATCATCCTAGTATAACATGTTTGTTGAACTACCTTGGTCCAGCAAAATGCGTTTTACATTAAAACCCATAAGAATTGTAGAAATGATGGTTAGGTTCATGAGGTGCCATTCCATCATAGTCATCATTTGAGAAAGTGATATCAGGATGTCGACTCTCTCTTCTTTCCAATATTGTCATTATTGATCGAGCATATCTCTTTCTTGTTGTTGGCATAATTTCTCCCCTAAAATGCTTTCAAAAATCTTGTTTTAGTCCCCATATATTGACTGTTTGTTACTTGATGTCCTTCCAACCGAGGGAGGAGGCATGGGTGGATCTTTACCATTTCGATCATCCCTAATTTTTCTCTCCCTAGAACCAATGCTACTTGAATACCTCTTTTTACAAATTTTGATAAATGTCTTTCGTTTATCAAGCATTCAATTTTTCCTAATAAGAACGAAACATTTCTTTTTATCATGGCCAAACATCTTATGAAACTAGCACCATGCTAACTTCTCCAACTCCTAGTTGTGGTGAGAAAGTAAACATGTTGGCATTGTTCACATCCCTAAGAATATGTTGCCTAAGAGCATTCAAAGGGGTCTAATGTTCTGCCTCTATCTTTTTATTAGTTTGACCTTCCTCCACCTCAATGTAGCTTAAGGCACATGCCCTTACATAAGCTATCTATTGGTATTTCCTTCTCCCAAGAGACTCATTGATCTCCCTCAATTATAAACCTTTTGAAATGTCGCAATTGCCTTTTTTTCATCGAGAGATGTTATCCTTATCGAGACCTTGTTAAACCTCAAGAGGAAAGCTTTCAAAAGTTCCCCCACACTATTGTTTTAAGTAAAAAAGATTTGGTGTGGTTGGGTTTTTTTGCTTATTTGTTGCAAATTATGCTACAAAAAATTATCTAGACACATTGAAACCCGTTATGTAACGATTCAGCAGACTACTAAACCAATGCAAAGTCACTTTCTTCAATGTTCTCATGAATATCTTGCATTGCATTCCCACACTTTTTCTACTGATCAAAATATAAGCATAAAAGTTTGTTAGATATTGACTAGGATCTTGCGTTCCATCAAATAAATCAACTTTAGGCACCATGTAATCTAGTGGAATAGGTTATGCCTCAAGTTCTGTTGAGAAGGGTTGAAAATCCCTCAACACCTCTACCATCAAATCTCCTTCCATCATCCTGAGGTTGGCCTATATCGTCTTTTACATCTCATGAGCCCTACGTTGGATTTCTTCATTCTCCCTCTTAATCTCCTCCACTCTCCTCCTAGCTTGAGCATTCTCTTACCTTTGGTTGTTGATCATAGCCATCATCTCCTCCATCATTGCTTGTTGCACCTTATGCTTCATCGCTACTCCTCTTGCCATCTACATCAAAACCTCCTTACACTTTTTTTAATTAATAGTCTTAGGGCGTAGGAGAAGTTTCACCATAACCTTACAATGAACACCAAAATGTTTCAGTCTGAAGAATGTCATAGGGTTAATCTAGTTACTCAACCAAAGGTAGAGTATTTAAAAGTGAATTTAATTTATTCATCCTTACTCTAGTTTTTATACTTGATTGCCATAGGTGTATGGGCCCAAGAATTTCAAGATTTGATAGGTTAGTTACTTATCATTAGGTACTTGATCTTAGTTAATAAAGATAAGACTTTGTGCTAGATATAGGTCGTCTATAGTTGAATTTGTGTCGACAACCCCTGATGGATCGAGTTACTTAGTCTATTAGGAATAGATTGGTAGGGTACTCAACTAGAACCTCTTAGCCAAATCCTCTCGATCATAACCTCTCAGTTAGATCTTCTCAACAAAAAGTCAAGAGAGGGTACACTTGCCCATCACCCTCAAGCATGAAAGGTGTAGAGGCTAACTCAAAGTATGCTCTCAATGAATGTTCAAGGTACTCAACTAAAATTTCTCAACCAAATTCAAAAACACGAAACTCATTATTGAACAAGAGTGACAATTAGCTTAATCTTGAATAAATAATAATTTAAACATTAACTTATTATTATTATTGTATGATCAAATTGGATCAAATTATAGATCAAAAACACAAAAACTCATTATCTAACTTGTATAATGTCAAATTTTGATTGAATTAACTCAAATATAATTCATATATATATATATATATATATATATATATATATATATATATAACACAAACTT